AGATATGACTTTGGGTGGTGGGCACACAGAGCCATATACAGATCTTGTAACATAGAAACCCACACCTGAAACCTATATGTTCATATTAGCCACTGTCACCACAATAAATTTAATAAAGTGTTATTAAAAAAATAAAATAAAATTGCAAAATTAAAAAAAAAAAAAAAGGCAGTGTGTAAACTCTATGCCATATTATTTATCCCCACCATCTAGGACACTGTGTGCCTTGTTATCTCAGGACATGGAAGCGAGGCTAAAAGCTGTGAGCAGGAGGCTGAATGTGGCCATTGTGCCTACCTTGTTTCATAAGCCTGCAAAGCTCCTTTTGAAAAGTTCCCTTTGTGTTCATTTAGAATAAAAGTCTCCCAAGAGCACAACAGACGGTGACTCGGTTCAGCACTGAAGACTTACTAATGTTGTAAAGGCAGGAGGAAGTCATTAAATAAAAAGCAACAAACCCGAGGGCCTAGTTTATAGTCGCTCAAATTACATAGATGTTTCCAAGCCTAAATTACAGTAGGAAGAGGGAAACCTGCTTTAAGGTGGTTTCAGAGTGGGATAGGTGGTGACAGGAAATGTATACAATGCTGTCTCTGAGGAGGGAGGAATAAAGGCAAGTTTTATCTGTATGTTATCTTCAAATGACTGTATTACTTTTTTATTTATTTATTTAATCGTTACCCGAGGATATTTTTCCCATTGCTTTTCAGAAAGAGTGGAAGGGGGGAGGGAGAGAGAGAGAGAGGCTGCCTCCCTCATGAATCCCAGGGGGCCGGGGATCAAGTCTGCAACTAAGGTAGGTGCCCTTGGCTGGAATCGAACCTGGGACCCACCAGTCCACGGGCCGACACTTTAACCACTGAGCCAAACAGGCTAGGGTGACTGTATTACTTTTAGTTAGAGATTCTACTTGTATAATGTAAGTTCACTAGATTTTCACTTATGATGTCCTAATTTGATTACATGTAAGTGGCTGACTGGGTTCAATTAAATTAAGAACTGTTTTATGTAAATTACTTACTTTTGGGCTACTTAATTAAATAAATCCTGAATGACAGAAATGAAGTTACTCTGAACCATTGGGGATGAGCCAAAATACAAAACCAAGAAAGAAGGTCATGCTTTCATGTTTTTGCCCAATGGCCTGGAACACTAGAGCCTCTAAGTTAAACTGCATCCGTCCCCCCACTATGGAGCACTAGTACACAACACCTGCCCTAGCATTGCTTAAATTATCCTCTCGGTTTCAGAGAGGGAAATTAAAAAGTATCCTGACAAAAATGTGTGTTAAGAAAAACAAGTAACATTTTTTAGCCCATCTTTATCTCAAACTTCTTTGAAAGGAGACAGAGCAAAAAGAACCTTTAAAGATCCAATTCCAATGTTTCTGAAAGAGAAACCAAGTGCAGGGAAAAGATAGTAAAACCAGCTTGCACACTGAGCATAGCTCAAGGGCATTAGAGCTGGTTAAGAACCAACAGTTTCCCATAGATCCAGGCTGCAGGGCCACAGACTCATGCTGGGTAATAAAACCACTCTGACTTTGTCTTCTTTCCTTCATTTTTGCTTGTCTGACCTTTAGATGCAGTGAGTCACACAATAAAGTACAAATGGAGTAAATATTGGCAACTATCTGAAAATAAAAATGAAACAAACTGAAGCCCAAGAAAAACAATCTCAGGAGGCCCAATTACCACATTTGTTACTTCCTATTATTCTTCCTCTTATTCTGATATAACAGTGTCATTTACAGAATCTGGTAGCATAATATAAGTTCATGACATATGCAGCTGTGACATCCTAACCAAATTAATCCTAGGATTCAAAAGCTGTACAAACAACTTTAGCCTAAAATTGGATTTTTACAATGCAGAGCTCTGTACATGGGCTCAAGTCAGAAACCCATGAAAAACTATAGCCATTTCCTTAAGTTCAGCGAAGAGTAACAATCAAAAATAGTTAAAACTATCTTATAAGAATTGCCATTACTAGATTTTAGATTAATCAGCTATTCAGTTGTACACATCGGTTCAAATATATTTATCAGTGAAATCAAGAGAGGGACAGAAATCTACTACATGAGTTTTTCCCCTAAAAGTTAAAGTAATTGGAAACTCTTAGAAAAGCAAACCCTAAAATTTTATTTTAAAAACTATCTTCCCCAGATGCCTACACATACATAACGCTGTATTTTCGATAGTTCATTCAATTTATACTTTAGGATGAACAGGTTTTGCTTGCAGAGGATGGTGACTGGATAAATTAAATAAAAGAGGAAGACTAGAATGATTCAGAGATGGAAAAATGATAAAAAAAGCAAAAAAAAAAGCAAAACAATCTGAAAGGTTAGGGGAGTCCATTGCAAAGGTTGAAGGGGTCTGGGTCTGGACCCAGTAGCCGAAAGGATGAATGAATGAAGGATTGAAGTCTAACCACAGGTGAATCCTTGGAGGTTTGCTACCACTTGGAAGGAGATGCTTAGAGTGACTGAAGTCAAGCGCCCAAGTAAAACTGATTTAGAAAAGGTCTGAGTTGATTGCTTGTTCTTCCTGTCTGATTACGAATTTCAAGTTCAACATCTAGGCTAGGATTTTCTAAAGCTATTAAGATGGAGAAGTGGTAATTGCCCTGCTAATGTGCCAGCTTATCCTTGAATAGATATAATTTCCATCAGAAATGCAAGCAACTAAATTGCCCCCAATAATTAAGATGAAGAGGCTAACCCTGCTAATTACAATTTGTTTCCTTTAATATTTTTGAGGCACGCATACTTCCATAGTATTGCTTCAGGTCATGTATAAGTCAGTAATCATGTAGAAAATTTAATAGCGTCCATTTTTTTTCCTGAAGGTAAATTACACACTGTTTTAGAAAAGAGGGCGCTCCAGTCACCCACAAGTCTTGCACTCACACTGGGACCCCTGTATTATATGTAATTCCACTGCCTCTCAGATGGCAGGCTCCTTGGTGCCCCTTAGGATTTAAAGTTCTGATCTCCATTTACTCTCTTCCCCATCAACACCTGAAGAAGCACAAAATAATAACAAATGTAAAAAGTTGTGTAAAATTTTCATTGGCAGTAAGAGAGTTTTAATCAATTGGTAGTCTGTGGATAGCTGTAAAAATAGTAACGAAAATGGGTTGAGGCCAGACATCCTCAGTTCAGGTCTGTGTTCAACCTCTTATTAGCTACCTAATCTTCATTTCTGTGTCTCAGTTTCCTAATCTGTAAAATGGGGTTGATTATCTTTTCACTGTAGGACTGTGGTGAGAATGAACTGAGATAATTCTAAGAATGGCATGCAGCGAGCTTAGAGACGCTTAAAAAATGATTAACCATTGTTGTTCTTAAAAATTATTATTATTGCCTGGCCGGTGTGGCTCAGCGGTTGAGCATCGACCTAGGATCCAGGAGATCGGGGTTCGATTGCCGCTCAGGGCACAGGCCCGGGTTGCGGGCTGGATCCCCAGCAGGGGGCAGCAGGAGGCAGCCGGTCAATGACTCTCTCATCATTGACGTTTCTATCTCTCTCTCTCTTTTCCTCTCTCTGAAATCAATAATGATATATATATTTTTAAAATTATTATTATCCAGAATGCTGTACAGACAAAATAGAGGGAAAAAATAACACGGTATTTGGAAGAGCACATTTTCTACAGTTTACAGTTAAGTTCATGAAAATTTGAGTAGTGAAACCCAAGTCAGAAAATTAACATAAATGCCAGCAATTTGGCATTTACATTAAAATATATATGTTTTAAAGCCTGGACGTATACTCCCCTTCATTCAAGCTATCTAAGGATTTTAAAATGCCTTTTTTAGATGCCTGCACATGCACTACGTATATTTCCAAAAGTACATTTAATTAAGTTTACAATAAGCTTGTTCTGCTTGCAAAAAATATCAACTGGATGAGTAAGATTTCCTTATTTGTTGACTTTAAAATTTAATGACCTTGACTTGGTCTAAGAATACTCTGTCTTACCTGAGCACAGTGGAAGATAAGAGAAGCCTGGTGACCAGCTCTCCCAAGAGCAGAAGGGTGAAAACGAACAGATACGGTTCTACTTGAGTGAGGAAGTAGAGTCAGCTGTGTAAATTTAGAAAGAAAAAAAGAGAAACAAAACAATCAATACTTTTGTTTGAGTCAGCATCTCTGTGCACTAGATATATGCTGGGTGGATATTTGTGTGATTAATGTGTTGCCTTGTACACTTTTTCCAATCTCAGTAGGTCTGCTTGACAAATATCAGTAAAACATCTGGCGGGAAACAGTGTTTAATGGTGCTCGTGCCACGTACTTTCCCCAGACAATGACCACATGGAGTTAGTCACTCTAAGTAAGGAAATCTAAATTAACGTTTTAATCTGAGTTAGAGCCTCTCATAATAGAAATGTGCATTTTATTTAAGAACCCATATGTCCATTCTAAGATACAAGGCAAACACTGGGAACCCAACTTGTAGCCTTGGTAATATCAAAAGAAATAAACAGGTTCTAAGCACAGATATAAGTCATGTTTCTTTAGTGTACCTTGAAGTTTCCCTCTTTGTCTTATCACATACACACTCAAGGTGTGACCTGCTATAATAATTTAATTCTGAATAGTATGAGTTTGTTACTTCTTTAGAGATTGTGAGCCAGCAACTTCATCACACTGTATCGAGGACTTGAGTGTCTCATGTAATCAAAGCGCTACACCGTGAACAATGTAATATTTAATGCCAACACTTATAGAATAATAGAATGAGCGGTACATATCTGAAAAATAAATCAACTATTTTTTCACTAATTTATTCTGCCGGGTAACTTTTGAAAAAGTAAAACTACAATTTAGCAGTCATTCAGTCCTTGTTAAATATAGCACTTTGTCCTCAATAAACTCTGATGACAACAGAATACAAACATAGACAAGTTTATATTGAGAACAGTGTTACATCCTTATTATGTATAGTGCGGTTTATCTACAGCAAATATATTTTATCTCAGACTGGTTCTCTGATATCTCAAATATTTCGAAGTTATCAGCTAATCCACATTTAAGGAGTGTAAATTAATTTCAGTAACGATCTTAGCAAAAAATAAAGTTGCATTTAATATATTCTTTAAATTTCGCAAATATGAACAAAAGTTTCTTTATGTACAGGAAGGGTATACATATATATGAAGTAAATAATCTATTTCATTGGAAAAAACATATAATACTGCATTAAATTTGATTTTCATTCTAACACTACCACATGCTAACAATGTGGCTTAAGTATTTTAGCCTTTCTGTCTTCAACTTCCTCTTCTATAAATATATGTCAGAGACATGTGGCGAAGATTGAGGCAGTTTATACAACCAAGGAGTAATTCAATAAAATTCCTTTATTTCCACCTAAAATTTACTGAAAAATGCATTTCCAATGTTCTCAAGGAAAGAAAGATAAACACCATTTCTTGGAATTTAACTGCAGTAAACCTACTGGTTTAGTGTAATTATATATATATGTTAAATATAGGACCTTTGAGAAACTTATATATATAATGTTAAATATAAGACGTGTGAGAAACTTGAAAACATTTCATTGCAAGTGTCATGATGATAACTAATCCCAATGTGAGCTTACACTGGATCCTAGTTCAAGAGGGAAAGAGTCTTGGGGCAGGTCAGTAAACTGATATTTGAACAGGATACTAGATTATGTTGGAGATTGATATAACTTAAGAGACATAAACTGAAATAGTGTTGAAAAAGCATGATACAACTTACCTTCAAACTGAATAGTGAAGGGATTAAGAAGTACAAATTGGTAGTTACCAAAAAAAAAAAGAAAAGATGTAAATAAACTACAACATAGGCAATATAATCAATAATATTGCAATAATTATGTATGGTGCCAGGTGGGTACTGCAAACATGGGGGAGGGGACACTTTGTAAAGCATATGATTGTCTAACCACTGTGCTGTACGCCTGAAACCAATACAAAATAAAATTGAAAGTAAACTATAATTGAAAAATTAAAATTAAAGTTAAAAAACCCTGAATGAGAGTAAAAGGGAAAAAAAAGAAATGTAAGAGAGAGAAGAGAGAAATGTGGCAAACCATTAATATAAGAACCAAAGTAGAAGGTATAAGCTTGTGCATTGTATTATTCTTTCAACTTCTGTATCTTTTTGAAATTTTTCAAAATATATCATTGGAGGGAAGCAACTTTTTTATATCATTTGCCTTGGCAATCAATCTATGCTTCTTTATTGAAGCATTTATGGGTAATAATCAATATTTTAAAATTCATACTTGTGCAAACATGAGTACTATGCAACAAAACCGTAAGTAAAGTTATATGTACATATATTCTTTCCATTTACTATCATTAACATTAATGTGTTCTCCTAATTTGTTCTATAATACATAATATTATTTTTAGTAAATGTATAACTTTATTTTTGAGTTATCTCATAATATTGAAGTTAATTGCTTATTTTGTACTTAATATTTGATAAATGTATAGAAATGAATGGAGTAGAAAACCCTAGTTGGAAATATTAAAGCAGAGTCCATATTCTTCATTATATAATAAAGTTGGCATCTGCAATATATTGTATTTGTTTTCCCTTGGACCACAGTTTACATTCTTCTGTAAAAGTAGCGATATAAAGGATAAGAAAACACCACTTTACCCCTGGCCAGGTGGCTCAGCTGGCTGCACCAGAAGGTTGCGGGTTCGATCCCCAGTCGGGGCACGTACTGGAGGCAACTGATCGCTGTTTCTCTCTCACATGGATCTTTCTCTCTCTTTCTCTTTCTCTCTCCCTCTTCCTCTTTCTCTAAAATCAATAGACATATCCTCGGGTGAGGGTTAAAAAAAAAAAAAAAGCACACACAAAAAAACACTTTCTAATGAGAAATTTCAGTTATTTGTAAACTACATCCTGAACATCACATTTCATTTTCATTTATGGAAAGTACAGTGTTAAGTAATATAAGTATGTGTATATTTTAACATAACCTTTTAAAGATTACACTATACATATAAATTTTAGCAACATAATAGTGATATCTAATTTGACACATTATGGCAGTTAATAACTAATTTTGTATCATGATGTTGTTAGCTGGCAACTGGTGATTGATAAGAGGCAGGTATTAAGATATAAATAAAGAAATCACAGTGTAGATTTTTAAACATCAATAAAAGGCAAATAGTAAAAGCCTTTATTTAAATACCATATTTACTTAGTAGGTCTTCATGATTCACTGTGAGGGCCTCTGAAGAGAATCATCTATTGCAATGATTATTTTGAGATTTCCCTGAAAGCATGGCTTTAACATTCACTGACATTTTTGATGTGTTCTTTGGAAACGCAGATACTGATGCTGAACCTTCAGTCTTATTTTGTTAGTGGAGGAGAAAAGTGACTGAGGCCCATTGATAGGCTCTCGTCTCTGCCAGGGACCAAGGAATGGGAAAATGAGGCAAAGAAAGGAGAAAAGAGGAGGGGGGGAGCTGTCAGCACTGTCTGGAAGTGGGGGACGGGTGGTGGGCAGGAACTCAGGAAGGGCTGAAAAAGGATGGGCCTTTGGGGACCTTGTGACTACAGCATGGCTGTCGAGTCAAAGTCACATTACTGAGAACTTACCGTAAAAACTGATTACGAAAATGGTCAGAAATAAAGCACAATTTATTTAGAATTCAGTGATAATGAACATATATAATGGCATATATCATTTCAAAAATTTAAATGAACATTATAATGGTTTTTTATTGACAAATTAAAATTTGACATATATATTACATATATTTATAGAAATTCCACTTTTAAATTTTAGACATTTGAAATCTTATTAATAATTATTGAAATGCTAATATCTCACAGTACCCCAAAATCAGAATTGGAAAATGCTCTGGTAGTGATGGGATACTTGGCTTTCTGAATATACTCACTGGTGATTTGAAAGCATCCAGGATAAAATCATCAGGATCACTGTTTTCTACTTGCAACTCTAAGGTTTCATGCGTAGGATTAACTAAAGAAATGACCTGAGTGACATACCTAGAAGGAAAAAACAAAGCTAGTAAACATGTTCACAAACTTGTTTGATATTAATTTTACAAACCTGATGACTATTTTGGGTTGAAATGCATCCTGTAAAAGGGTAAGTTGAAGTCTTAATTCCCAACACCTCAGAGTGTGACCTTATTTGGAAATAGGGTTGTTGCAGATGTTATTAGTTAAAATGAGTTCATACTGGAGTAGGGTGGCCCTTAACCCAATAAGACTGTTGTCCTTATATGAGGATGATATGAAGACACATGAAAAGATGGCCGTTTGACAGTGCAGGTGGAGACTGGAGTGATGCATCCATAAGGCAAGGAACACCAAGGATTGCCTGCAACAGCAGAAGCCAGAAGAGGCAAGGAAAGATTCCCTCTTACTGGTCTCAGAAGAAGCACGGTCCTGTTGAAACACTGATTTCAAGATTCTAGCCTTCAAAACTGTGAGACAATAAACTTATGTTGTCTTAAGTCAGCCAGTTTATGGTATTTGTTATGGCGGGCCTATGAAACTAATATAATGATTTGTATGAGTTTCAAAATAGGAATCATCATATATTAACTAATGACATTTTGCTGAATTAGATAATCCCTGATTCTCTATTTTTGACACCGACGGTATTCCACATTGGGTACTGGAACCTATTCCGGTTTTAGGAGCAAGGTTTGCCAATTATTTTATAACTGCTAAGTCCAGACCAAAAAGTTAACATAGTCTAGAAATAATAACAAAGAGTAATAAATGAACAAAGTTCTGTCCATTACATCAAGGAGATCCAAACTGGTGATGAAGAAATAAACCCGCCCCCCAAACTGTGGCTGGTATGTATGGTCAAAGCGAAGAATACTCAAGAGGGTTCATAATTCTCCATCCATCATCATTCCTAATGCCTTTTCATACACAGCGTCAAACTGGGCTCCTGTAGTAATACATACCAAAACCGCACTGAGGTAGCACACCTCACACCTGTTAGGCTGATTTTTTAAAATTTATCTTTATTGTTGAAGTATTACAGATGTCCCCTTTTTTCCCCGTGGACCTCTTCCACCACACATCTGCCCCCCCCTCCCCCGGCCTTCACTATTGTCTGTGTCCACGGGTTACACATATATGC